GAACATCCATATTTCTGAAGAAAAAACATTTCAATATTCAAATGCAAACATACTTGAAATATCGATATTTTCACATTCATTATGAAAATTAAAGTAAAAACTGGATATTGCGAGATCAGATCAGAGAAATGGAAAATGTCGGAATATGACGTTTTCAAAATTTACAATATAGATATTTTCTTTGAATATTTTCATCAAATTTTGATTTTTGAAAATATAGTATTAAAACTTTTGAAATAAATGTCATTAAACCTGTACCGGTTATTTAAAGAAAAGTTTAATAGCTACATATTGGATATAAGAAATGAGTAATCCATAACACGAAGTTTGGAAAGTTTAAAACATTTAAAGTATCAAAAATAAAAATGAGCTAAAATTTTATGAATACATTTGGAACTTCTAAATGTAATTTAGAGTTTTCTTTCGTTTTGAATATCAATAAATAATATAGAGTTAGTGGCTTCTATCCAACATTTGAGTGAGGTATGTACCTACAATTTATGACTATCACTTGTAGATATACATATACAATTTAAATTTTATTTGTTACTTAATATTATTAGGCATTATTTGTTCAAAATTTTTAAATAAAATTGCTGAAATGAAATATAAATTAGACTTTATAAAAATTGATACCTTATTTGAAGTGGTGTCTGTCCGCATTGACCGTGCAGGAGAAGATAGCAATTCCGTCGTGGCGATTGGAGACCAACAAAAACAACAGATATCAATTCTCCTTGTAGATCGCCAAGACCTGTTAATTATCCAGTTGGAAAACCATTGGAGGTAATATTTTAATGTGATAATATTCTGGCCCTTAAGAACTATCATTTTGTTACATTTTTAACCAAATTCAACCAAATCGTTTAGCGTTTTCCATAGCAGAGTATTGTGCCCGAATGATGGCCTAAAAATCATATATTTCTACTTTTTACATTCCAATATGGCTGGGTTAATACCCTTCAACCTTCAATTCATGCTCAAAGGATATTATTATTATTTTATGTTATAAATCGAGACTATACAGATTTTGGTTAGTAGAATCACATCTCCTGGATCCAAAATTTGAAATTCGTAAACAGCTCGAAAGCATGTGTTTTTGGAGAAAGTCCATGTTTATATAAGTGAGAATGATAATGAAGAAAACTGTAGACCTGTACCTGTACAGGAGCAGTTTAGTAACCATAAACTCAAACACATAGACTCACTCACTTTATGGGTAGCAAGTTTGATTAGAAAATTGTTTGGCTTAAATATGGAGAAGTACAAGAAATATAGAAGAATTTTAGTAACTAAAGACGGTTGTTATTTGAATGGCAAAAACTTCGAAATGTACATTCCTACTATTTAGCTCGCTTATGTAAATAGTTGAGTTCATACGTCTCAGTTTGTTTCTTCCAGTTCCATGTATATAAAATAAATTCACGAATAATATCTGCAAACTCTAACAAAATGAGCATATCAATTCATAGAGTTATTACACATTATTAAACAAAAATATATGATGACACCCTTAACTTATATATTACAGCCAATTATGGAAGATGCCATGTCTTGCGAGGACACAATTGATTTACATGAAAACGAGTTCCAAAATTTGCAATTGGGTGAAGGAACCGAGGTTCAAAATGCATGATTTGTTTGATGTTGACAATGTGTATATGCATCTTTGTTGTAACACAGATTTATATTTATGCGTGTGTATATTGTTTAAAACACCAATATCATTTTTAAGTAATTAAAATATTTTTCTTAGATTTACTGGATGGGCCTTATGGCGCACCATCCAGTCACATCTTTCGGGCGCAGCATGCAGTTCTGATAGCAACTGGTATCGGTGTGACACCATTTGCCTCCATCCTGCAGTCCATCATGCATCGTTATGGAAGGCTCGCCATTCTTGTCCAAAATGCAAATTTTCTTGGGCCAGTGAGATCCCGCCAACAGTCATGAATTTGAGAAAGGTATACTAACAAGTTATGAGGTACTGTAATTTAGCACAGGGAGATCCAACACAATTTTTGGTTTTGTATTATTCTGCAATGGTATGCACATTTGCATGAATATTGCAACGTTTAGCGGATCTTGCATAATTATAATCTTGCAATGTTTTGTATGTATAAGATGTATAGTAGACAAAACACTAGACAAACATCTTTACAATCCTGCATGGTTATCAGCATATCATAAATTCTACACAGTTGCAATACTGTAGAATATTGCATGGTTTCTTGTGGAATGGAATGCTGAAAAATTTCGCAAAATCCCCATACTGTCATGATTGTGGATCAGTCATTTTATTACAAATTTTGTTTAATTCTAAGGAATATCAATTTTCTGAAACTCCCTGACTATTATTATTTGCAGGGTATCGCATTATCTCAAGGAACATGCATGCATAATTTTAGAATAGTTCAAATAGTATGCCTTACTTTAATTAGCAACTAATAGATAATAATTCGTAAAGGCTCCTCTTGATATACGTGAAGACATAAGCGGCACGCCTTAACTCATTGGTTCCCCCCGCTCTAACAAAAAAAAATGTTGCGCTCCCCTTAATTTTTTCAAAAAAATTATTTCAAAAATACTCAACGGATGTTATCAGATTACAAATTAATATACAAAATTATGTGAAAATATGCATAAAATATTATATAATTTTAAAATCTTTGGTTAATTTGCCAAAATAAGGAATAAAAAGTATTTGGAGAAGTCCCCCCTGAAAGAACGCCCCCCACAGGTTGGAAACTGCGGTCTTAACTACAGTTTGTTTCGGAATCCTACGGATAAAATATGTATTCACTCATAATTATCTGTCAATTTTTACAAAAAAATTACATACAATTCAATTGTACGAATCAATATGCACATTTTAAATTTTTGAGCAAACATATTTATTGAATGACTCATAGCTGATGATGACCACTCTAGAATCTAAAGTGATCAGCTATAAATCTAGATTTTCTGCATCTATGGAAAATTGAAAGAATTTTCTTAATTTTTTCTAACGCACGTTGATGGCCCCCATATTTCGGAGGGGCCCGTAAAGGAAAGGAAAATTCCTGATAAGGAAAAATTTGGCGGTAGCTGCGCCTCTGGTAGAGATTTAATATATTTCATTCTCAGGTTGACTTTTTCTGGATAAATCGAGACCAGCGTTCTTTCGAATGGTTCGTAAATTTATTATCACAACTTGAAATCGAGCAAGCTGAATTAGGTGGAGCTATGGAACGTTTCCTTGAAATGCACATGTACATCACCAGTGCTTTACAGAAAACTGATATGAAAGCAGTTGGTTTACAGCTAGCTCTTGATTTACTTCATGAAAAGGTAAATATAATATTAATAAATAATTAAAATAAAGTATAATTAAATTTTTTCATCATTCTTATTGAGATGATATTTTTGCACATATACTATTATTAATGTAGAAGTTTTGGTTGTTTAATGATTATATCAATGAAATATTAAACAGTTTTCATAAAAATGAGACATTCAACGTTGCTGTATCGTTATAGTTATCGTTAAACGTATATTTACTTAAAATATCATTTATTATTTTTAGGAAAAGCGCGACTTGATCACTGGTCTTAAAACAAGAACAATTGCAGGAAGACCAAATTGGGACAAAGTATTCAAACAATTACAAGACCAGAAAAAAGGAAAAATCACCATGTTCTACTGCGGTCCACCTCAATTAGCAAAAACTCTGCGAGTCAAATGTGACCAGTATGGTTTCAATTTCCGCAAAGAAATATTTTAAAAATTCATAAATATTTTTATTTGTTTATATTAATTTATGGCGATCACTTATATTGTATTTATACTAAAATAGGGTAAATAAACTGGTTCTTGTTTAAATTAGTACATGTTCATAAAAATCTGAGTAAAGTCATTAAAACGGCAGATCATATATTTATACCACTTAGACCAATCAAATATTTTTTTTGTCAATAATATTTAAATATCAAAAACAAGAAGTTATAGCTTCTCATTGCTTCTATTCAGTGTTTAAATAAGATAATCGAGTTCATTAATGGATGGCAAGACATAAAAAAGCAACAAAATACTGTTTTTAATTTTATGCGAGGTTTTTCTGAATTAATTCTGCTAACTTGTAAAAACATTAATTATAAATAAATTTCTATATAAATCAATGTATTAGCTTACGTTCCAAATGTAAAATTATCGTAAAGTATCTAATCAAATATGGAAGATCAAGTGGCGACAAAAATATTTTAAGTACATCTAACGTATCAATAAAATTTTGAATTTATAATCTTTTTCATAATATTTTAAACCTGACCAAACTATTTGAAAATTTCTAATAAATAATATATTGAACCAGCCATGAGAAGTGATTCTAATTTTTCAATTTGCAATATGATTCTAAATTTGGTTAATAATTTTTATACTTCATATAGCTGATCAGCAGTCCAGTAATAACATTACTATATCATAACATTATGGCAAAAACTTTCAAGTACAAAAAACTAATCATTTTAGAAATAAAATTTTCAACTTTAGTTTTCAAGCAGTGTCATATATATTTTAATCATCGCTTATAAATATTCACATATTAAGATACATTTGTAATTAAATTTTTTCATTTTATATTAAACAAATATAAATTATTATAATATATTTTATTATATAATACATTTTTTATTAGTATTAGTATTTGTTTTCCACCTCAAATAATTCTTTCGTTAATTTAAAATTGCACGAATTAATATTAATATGTTGAGTTAACTATGTGATGTATGTATGTCTATGTAACTAATGATATTAACTTAATAATTAGTAATTAATTAGCTTATGTGTAACTAATATAAGTGTATAACAAAGTGCCTTAATAAGCACTCGATTCTTAAACTGCATGAAAAAATTAATAACTATTCGTAATTAAACTGCATTTAGTAGGCCTATAATATTTTAGAATATTCGTTCAATTTTTCCAAATCCGTCAAAAATACGTCAATAAGTTACGAAGAAACGGCCGGCCGATCGATACCAAAAACTAGTGGTGCATGGCATTAAATTTTATTAATACGAATGGAATGTTTTTTGAATTATTCAAATCGGTTGACCCGTGTTCCCAAAATCGTCGACGAAAATTTGTATCCGCACACACACATAAATATACATACACACGTACACACATACATCCTTTTTTTTAAGGTATGCCAAAATGTTCAGAAACCTCTGAAACGTAAAGATATATAAAAAATTTCATTTTCGATTTTTGGCGATTACTATAACTTACCCAATGGGAAGTTAATTTATCAGCATGATTTCCAACTGCTATCATTAGAACAGTATTTGAATTTTCAAAGACAAAAAATTTTACACTAATTTGATAATGATAAAACGATCAAGTTTCATCGAACGTCGAAAAGTTTTAAAACTTTTGAAGACACTTACTTACACATACTTTTTCCTATTTTGGAATCAAAAGATTTATATATTGACCTGAAACGTCGAGAAAAATTTAAATTAGCAAATCGAACTTTCTGGCAAAAGCAAAAACTTTATAAAATGAAATAAGATAAAGTAATTACCAATATCAGTATATATCAATAAAAAATAGGAAAATAATAAACATGATATATATTAGTATATAAGACGAACCTTTTACTATTTAGAAAATAAGAGTATTTTCTACTATTCAAATAGTATGAGTAGATAAAAATTGTCAGTTGATCTAAAAGTAATCAAATGAGGATTTTATTTTTAAAATTTTATCATGCATTACTTTTTGATTATTTTTCCTGAAGCAAAATTTTCAATATCGTATAAATTCAAAAGTGATCGAGACCTGTACAAAAACTTGGCTCATTTTAAAAATTCGGGGAGTACGGGCCATCGTGGTAAAGTCGTGGCTTTGCAACCACAAGGATCCAAGTTCAAGTCCAAATCAGTGAGTTCAGGTTGCGTGTAACCTGACAACAACGATTATAGGGTAAGGTCGGGCTCTAAAGGTACGCGGGAAAAAAGATCCACCATCATTATCTTAAAAAAACAAGCGAAGTATAGATTTTTTTAATGATACTATTTGAAGTAGAGGCAAAAGTTGTGTAACCAGCCATCACCTTAATTTTTACAACGTCAATATTAGGAGTTAAACAGCAATGTATCAGTTCATTCATACCAAAAGTATTTTTTTGTTAGTATTTTTTTTTGCTTTGAGTTCTCGATTAATTCATGATACTTGAATACAAATTTTAGGTATACGTTAGTTAATTATTTTGTAACATGTATTGATATTTTTAAGTTAGATTTAACATCTTCTTTATATAACCTCTATAAAAGTTTACATGTGGGTGGGGTAAAAAGAACCAAATAAACCTTTACAATGGAAAAGGTGTAAATAATAAGAAATAGTAAAAAGGTGAATTAAATTAAACTAGTGTGGCGCATGGTGTCGTACCATGAGACAAATTGCTGGAACTTCCCGTACAAAATTTTTTTTCAAAATATTAACATTTTCAAAAAAAAAATACTCTGAAAAAATTAGATATTTGAGAAACTATAAATTTTTGACATAAATTTACTGTTTTTGCCCTACGGGAAGTTAAAAAGCAGTTTTATGAGGCTAAATTAATTTAATAATAAATCGACTTCTGCTGATGGAACATTTCTTTCGAAATACAATGTTAAGTTTATATACAACAAAATCTTTGTGAAAAATATTCATATAAAATTTATATTTCATATTATTTAAATAATGAAGCTATTATTTGTAAAATCCCTTTGAAATTAAAAAAAGGCATAAGGTTCGCCTGCGCCTGGCTGTTCTTTTTTTACCCCGCCCATGGGGGCAAAATAAAACGGATGACAAATTTAGGAAAAATAGTATAAAAACATATTTATTTAATTACAAATTTACTAGAATTTTACTGAACATAGTTTGATAGTTGTTTATTAGATACATCTTATGTGTTATCATGTAGTCCATTTAGTTTAGAACTTTTAACTCTAATTTTTACCCTAATTATACCTATTCTATCTGAATATGTGATAAAAACTAAAAATAGCTTCTTAAAAATCTTCGGGTATTGCTGCGAAAATATTAAGTAAAAAATACTAATTTGGTTCAAAGATAATCACAACTAATTAGATCTACTATTGTGATGCCTTCTAATAGCCAACTCTATAAAGTTTATAGAGTTTATACTAAGTATAAACTAATAAAACAATTAGTAAATATCTTTCTAAATAGACAGATTTTAATGCATAAAAATATTAGCATTAATTATATTTTGCATTATTAATAAAATATGTACTATTCGATTAATATTATTAGGAAATAAAGTATGAGATTTTATACAAATTCTAGATAGATAGAGTAACTCAATTCACTTTTAAATTGATATCAAAATAAAATTCTCACTAAATAAATGACTATGTCATGTATGTTAAACAACACTAATTAGCGTTTACATCTAGAGCGGATTTTGCCTACTTTATAATGACGTTTTGTCAATAACCGAAAATATATTCCAATTTCACTTTCACCGAGTGCAAGTCGTCGTTGCTATTTTTTCCACTTGATATTCACGAAAACAAACGTGCACACAAAATAAAAGAATAATCGAAGACGACAATTCTTCAATTCTTTTAGCAGCGGAATGAATGAACTTGATTTTTTAGCTGGAATGCAGAATGTACTTCAAGGAAAACAAGTAAATCTGATCTGAAATGGTTCGGTTTATACTTCATATAAATACATGAAGTATATACGTATAAATTCTGTAGTCTTTTTACTCCAATTCACTATCTCTTTCGATATGTCTAGGATATTAGAGAGAGCGCCAGCGATCATAAAGCCAAAAATAAATTTGATATAAGGTATGGCGGGGCACAAAGGTCCATGTATATCACAAAAATAACAAACAAACAACTATCTGACTATGTTTGGTTAAAGTTCCAGCTGACTCATCGTTGTAGAAGTGTATTTTTTTTAATTTTCAACCCGGTACTTTTTACCCCATAGTCGGATTATATTAGGACTGTCAAGGCAAACCCGTCTAATGTGTTATTTTAATTTTAAAGGATTTTACAAAATAATAACTACATTATTTAACCGATGCAAAATATATATTTTATGGGTGTATTTTCTATAGAGATAACATTGTATTTGACATTTATTAAGGTGGCCATATGTTTTGCATAAAATCCGGGACGGAGGGGATCGTTGGTGAGCTAAAAACTTATATGCACATTTTTTCGGTTCAAATTTTCTAGTTAAAATATATTTTAAAAAATATTGGCAATCAAAACATTTTTAATAATCCGGGATAATCCGGGACAAAACACCTAAATCCGGGACAAAGACGGAAAATCGGGACTGTCCCGGCCAATCCGGGTTATACATCTTTTTTACTTTACTTTCAACTAATCACGTGAGCCTTAAAGGAGAAAGGAGGGTTGATAGTCGGCGGAGGAGAGGATCTAGCAAGATATCTAGTGCATTTATTTTTTAAATCAATTAAAAAAAATACAATATTTTTTAAAAAAAATCAAAAAGTTTAAAATTTTTTCTCAAGGTAAATGCACGTAATCTATGCGAGAAAGGGGGGGGGGTTACCTTTACATATCGCAGAGGAAAGCAGGGTCTAAAAATCCTTAGAAATCGCTCACGTGATTAATGGACGCCCCCTAACTTTACTGGTTTTTCAGATATCTATGGTCGACCTTTGCACTAGAAAGCCTTCAAACCTCGCTCTACCCTATTGAAAAATTTATTTAGACACAAACTTT